ACTATACATGCTAATTGTAATGCCCCCTTTCTTTTTCCCCGCCCTTGTCCCTCCCTTCCCACCCATACTCCCCAGTCCCTTTCCCTTTGGTAACTATTAGTCCATTCTTGGGTTCTGTCAGCATGGTAATTTTGTATCTTGGTGGATAAACATCTTTTAACCCTGAAAAGATTTAGAATTAAGCATAAACTTTAAAAGAATCAACATCATAATTGGGAGAGTCTCACGGAGAAGATGGCATTTAAGTAAAGTCCAAATATGGTGACAGAGAAGATGATAGAGAAGGGGATATCTGGGGGAAGAGTGTTCCAGGCAGGTGGAACAGCAAAGGCTCTGAGGTGGAGCAGTTAAGGAGGATAGAAAAAGCATCAAAGAGGGCTGGGAAGAGCAATGAGAGATGGAATCAGAAAGAAGGGCAGACAGTGAGAGAAAGGTAGGACATTATGGGAACAGCTCTTGCAGGGTCTTGGCTTTAAATCTGAGTAAAATGGGGAGCCACTGACGAATTTTGAGTGAAGAATAAAAACATTCCTCAAGGGGAATCAAAAACTTACATCAAATCCCTTACATATTAGAAACATGTCACTAAAGGGGCTTAAGCCTGTTAGGCAGAAATCCAGTTTCATCTAGAATATAAGATTTAAATGATAGAGGATGAATCAAGTATTACCTTATCTTACAAAGTTTTTGTTGGGCCCAAAACATTACTAACAGCAGAGCTCCTGATTTCAAGGCTATGAAATGAGGTCTGGCAGGGTACCCTCTTTCTTAGGGTGGGAAATCTAGATGACCTGGAAGGAGCCCAGGTAGTTATGATGCACACTGACATGTTACAGCCTCACCCATGTGCCCATTTGGCCAAGGGGGGCAGGTTAGATCCTCACTTCCCGTTTACCACTTGTGTGGCCAGGGAGGTTCCAGCAATAAAGATAATCTGACCCCTGGTTCTCAGTGAAGGGCTCTTACTCCAGGGGTCCCACAAACCTACCTATATCTGAGGCTTGGGGAAGATTAGACTACAGATGAAGTTTGGGTCTTGGTTCTTTTGCTAAGGATTTGAACTTTTTCTCATTAAGACCAGTTAAAGTTTTTAGAGCAGGAGAGCAATGTGACCACCTTGTTTTGGGGAAGGCCCTGGAGGTATCATTAGGAAGGAATGAAGAGAAAGACCAGGAGGCAAGGGAGTTGGGAGGCTGCCCTCCTTCACCTCCTGGCTTACACTCTGGTTTCAACTGGAAAGGGGAGTAACCATCGGCCTTAATGGGTGGTTGTGTTATGCAAAACTAAGTGAAACACTTATATAGGCGAAAGCACTCCATAAATTCTGCAAAAAAACACGTTTATTAAGCATGGAATACAGATGTGTATAAACAAAAGGCCACTACGTGGGAATCTACCCTCTCCAAAAACCTCTTGGACTAAAACTAATACAGTGTTATATGTCGATTATATCTCAATTTAAAGAAGAAAAAACAAAAACTCGTATTTGAACGATGTGGAGTCTGGCTGTTATCACCATCAACAATAAATAAGCACATTCGAAGGAGAAGGGCCCAAACCGCTAACTAACTTACAAAAGAGGCAGTCTACATAGGCAGAAGGTGCGTGTGTGAGGTTCCATCATAAAACAATAATACAGCTCAGTATTTGCAGGGTGTAGTAAGCCTGCCTTCGGTTCTAAGCCCGGCTCTACTGCATCACGATATAAAACCGAAGGATGGAGGATATACGGAGAAACCAGGACTACTGCCCAGGGAGCCACCTTCCCGAGGAAGCGTCCGGGGCCCCCGACCCGACCGCCCTCGGCTGCCCTACTGGGAGGGCCCGCACGCCGCTCGCAGCGCAGCCCAAGCCCCGCGGGCCGCCGACCCTCCGGGAGTCCGCGGCGCCCGACGGCTCCACACGCGCCGGGCAACCGTCCCCGCGCCGCCTTCCTGCCGCCAGGCTCCGCGCGCCTTCCCGCCTTTCCCCGCGCCGCGGCCGGCCCGGAGACCAGGCGGGCGCGGGCGGCGACGGCGCGGCCATTGTCCCGCAGCCCCTCCCGGGCGCGCAGGAGAGGCTGGCCGCGCGGGGCGGCGAGGCGAGGCGGGCGCGCGGAGGGGCAGCCGCGGGGTCCAGGAGCCGGTGCGCCCGGCGCCGCCCGCCAGTCCCCGCGGGCCGCCCGGGCCGCCGCCCCGAGGCCGCGTCCTCCGCCGCCGGCCGCCCGCCCGCCCGCGCCTCCTCCTTTGTGACCGTCTCCAGCCCCTCGGAGCCGGCGGGCCGCCGCCGCTGCGCCCGGGGCTGCAAATGGCGCCCGCCCGTTCTGCGCCTCCCGCCGCTCTGCCGGCCCGGGGACGTCTGGGGGCGCCGCGCCCGGGCCGCATCCCGCCGCTGCTGCCGCCCGCGCGGTCCGAGCCCGCGGCGCCTCCGCCCGCAGCGAGGCTCGCGGCCCGTCCCGGGAGCCCCGACGCCCCGCCCGTCCACCGCCCGCGCCGCGCGCAACCACTTACCGCGGGCCGCGGCGGGTCGCGCGCGCGGGCTGGGGGAAGATTCCTGGTTCTCAGCAGGGGGAAATACCCACTTTCGAAGCCGTTCCCTTGCGCCCTAAAACAAGTAGCCCCAGCGTGAGAGAAACAAAAGGTATTTGCTGACGTGGGCGTTGGACAGAAACGCCCGAGGGCTGGGGACACAATTAAAGGGGCAACGCACAGATTTCAGGCACCAACCAGCAGCTTCGCCCACTCCCCCTGCCCCTGCCTACACCCCGCTGCACCCTCCGGACGCACCGGGGTGCCCACATTCCCCAGCAGTTGACCACGGAATCATTATTTAGTCGGGAGCTTAAATTTAAAATCGTACTTTACGTTGAGAAAGGCGCCTCCGGAGGGCAGAAGGGCTGGATTTCTAGGATCTGGGGAATTTGGTTTAGGAAAGAGGGAGGGATTTAGGCGTGCCCACAATTACTGTATAAGTACATGTGACATTATTGTACTTAAGTTTAGCAACGTCAAATGTAAGAGATTTCCACAGAATTTTCCCCTTTATTGAAGCACTTATTTTAGTAGGGAGTAACCTTTTCTAAATCTCTACAGGTCACAAGCATTTTACTTGAACAAGAAAACCCAGAAGCTGAGATAAAAGAAATTCGTGGTTAAGTTCAGAGAAAATACAAAACTAGTAAAAACAGCAAGCAGGTTTTGTGTTTTCAAATACTAAAATTCATCGTACATCAAGCCTTTCTTCTGACATTTTTATGTCCCTAATATTTAGAGTACAAGCAGGTTATGTATTTGCTAAAATCTTAAATCATTGGGTTTTCACTGTTACTACAGAAACATTAATTCCATAAAATAAGTTAGTTTTCTAGTTCCTTATGCCTTCCTGGGTCAGGTACTGAAAAGTACTGTGATGTAGTTAAACTGAAAAATAAAAAAAAGACAAAAATTCAAAATATGTAATTTCTTGATGGATTCCTCTTCTATCTGATATTCAGTCATATTGGGCAAAGTTTATTTGGTTTCATCAACAATTAGCTGTGCATTGTGAGGATCACATGCTGTATGAGAAAGTTATAAGATATTAACAACTGATCTCTTAACATCACTTCTGTATTACATTAGAGATGTTTTGTTGTTTAGTAGCATTTTCTCACAATCTGTACAGGTAACGGAAATATGTTTGAAAACCATTATGTATTGGATGTAGTCAAGCTACTCTACTGGCATCCCCATTGAGAATTCTCTCAGAAATACCTGGGCATTGTAATAGCAAATGGTTTTATTTTATCCTTAGTTAATTAAAACGTGCGTAAGAGTTCTACAAACCTGTTCTTCAAGAGAGCACATCAGATTAGTAATAAACTCTTTGTTGTAAGGAAGAAGTAATGGGACTTTTTCCCTTACCTACTTCCTCCTAGCTTCCAAAACTCATGAGTATTTGGAGAATTCCTTATGTTATGATTAATTGGTGAAGGTAGAATCTACCCTGTGCAACAGAATATGGAAATACTAGTGACCTGCTTTCCCAGGATCCCTTGCAACTAAGACAATGGTGATGGTCTACACTTAATCAGATGCACCCATTAGGGACTTCGAAGAGTCCTTGGCTGTGACACTACCAAGAAGCTGGAACCTGAAAGAATCTTTTCTGAGAGTGGTGACAGCTGCAGCTGTCAAGATAATATCTCCAGGTGCCTTAGTGGCAGTGACAGCATCCACGGTCCAGTGCTCATGCTATCAATAGTGCCAGATGCTATGTCTCTTTGCTGAGAGCAGTGTTGGTATCCTCACCAGGCCACATTGCAATACAACCTGGTTAATGTTTCTGCCTGCTTAGCATAGGTTCCAAACCCTGTGCTCTGGCTTCCCTGTAATTCTGTGAACTTTTAACACATTGATATCTGCTTAAATCAGCCAAGGCCAGTCTGTACAACTAAGAACTTTGACTAGTACAAAATATTAAGAAGGCATATGGCCTGGAGCTTAACAGTCAAAATTACTTGATATGAAATGTTGTCATCAATGTCACAGAGATGGGAATTAAAACCATACATATGAATGGTGAGAGAGAATATAAAGTGAGAAGAAGGCTTAGAACCAAGGTGGAGCAACTTCCTCATCTACTGGTTAGTAAAATTGTAAATAAGACTGAGAAGTGACTAGAGTGGACAAAAGAGACCAGACATAGAGAAGAGAGTTAATTCAAGAAGGAAGAATTGGACAACGTTGTTAAATGCTTCTCTTAGCAACCTAAGAGAACATGTCTATTAGACTTAACAACTTGGAGATCATTGACTTCAGACAACATTATTAACCTCAAAGAGGAGAGCAAAATCCAGATTAGAAGAATAAGTGGGGAGGCGTGCATGAAAAAATAAAGATGATGCAAACAGCTCTTTTGAGAGATTTGCTTGTAAATCTCTCAAAATTGTAGATTGAGATACGGTTACCATTGCTGTGTAACAGACTAACCTAAGCTTAATGGCATAAAATAAAAACTGTTTTATTTTGTTCATGGATTCCATGGGTCAAGAATTTGACAAATCACAGCAGGGATGACTTGTCTGTGTTCCACAATGTCTGGAGTCTCAGCTGAGAAGATGCAAATGGCTGGGGGTGACTTGAACTGCTGGGAACTGGGATCATCTGGAGGCTCCTTTCACTCACAGGTCACGCACCAAGGCTGGGATCACTTGAAAACAGAATTCAGCTGTGACTGTTATCTGGGGCACTTACACATGGCCTCTCTTTGAGGGGTTTCTTGCAGCATGGTGTCTGGGTTTTGAGAGGGAGTGTCCCCAAGAGAGAGCATACCAGGAGGAGATATTGAGAGAACTAGGAAGGAGCAGCCTCATTTTTTATACCCTTCTATACAAGTTGTATTGCTTCATTTGCCATTTTCCATTGGTTAATGTAGTCACAAACCTACCAAGATTCATACAGAAGGGAATATAGCTGCTATGTCTTAATGGGAAGAATGTCAGAGAATTTGGGGCCTTGTTTTATATTACTACAGGAAAACAGAGAGGGTATTAGCTAGAAAAGGAAATAGATGAAACACTTAAAAGACCCATGTCTAAATGCTTATGGAAAGCATGAAGATGAAAGGGAAATGTTGAATAGACAGGAAGAATAATTAATAGTGGCTGAATTTCTGCAAATTCTGGGAGATTAAAATCTCAAATAGGGGCACAGCTCCTAGATAGGAAGAGTGATAACTCCACTATCCCCACTGAAACTGGAGGTCAAAGAGAAGGGCATGGATAGGTGTGGTGGTTTAAAAATACCTATGTATCCTTTGACACGGCTCCCTTCAAGAGGTCTGTCCTACTCTCTTGTGCACGAGTGTGAGCTAGACTTAGTGACTTGCTTCTGAAGAGTAAAATAAATCAGAAATGGTAGTGTGTGATTTTAGTCTTAATGGTAAAAGGCAAAGGAGCTTCCTTTCTTTCTCTGCCTTGGATCAGTTGCTTTGTGAGAAACCAGCTGCTAGAGAATACTCAGCCATGAGGAGATGAGCTGAGGCTTTCTGTCCACAGCCATGTGAACAAGCCACTTGGAATGTATCCTCCAGCCCCAGACAAGCCTTCAGCTGACTGCAGCCCCAGCCAGCAGCTTGACTGAGACCTCATGAGAGACCAAATCAGAACCAACCAGCTAAGCTGCTCCTGGATTCCTGAACCTCAGAAATTTTGTGAAGTAATCATTGTTTGTTGTTTTAAGCTATTAAGTTGTGGGAGTAATTTGCTACAGGACAATAGATAACTTGTGGTACCTAAAAATGCTACCATAACAAAAACCCAAAATTGTGACTTTGGAACTGGGCAAAAGGTCAACACTGGAAGGACTTTGAGATGAATGTTAGTGAAAACTTGAGCCTTTCAGTAGTAGAGCCCTGATGGCCTTTGAGGAAGCTGCAAGTGAGGGCTTTAAGGAAAATCATAAAAATTTTATTGGCTACTGAAGGGGGTCCTTGTTATCTATTGGCAGAGAGTTAGCAACACTGTTTACTGCAGTAAAGTGAAAAGTAGAAAGTGTACCTAATGAATTGGTAATCTAGCTAAGGAAATTTCCAAGCAAAGTGTTGAAGGGGCCACCTGGTCTCTTCTTGCCACTGGTAGTAAAATATGATAAGAGAGAGATAAGCTAAAGGAAGGACTATTAAACAAAAGGAAGCCAGAACTTGCTGGCTTTGAATATTCCCAGTCCATCCAGGTGGCAAATGATACTAAAATTAAGAAATGGCTTCTGAACAAAGTTTAAATCCAGGGCAATGCCAGGAAAACACAGTCTAAAGATGAAGTCAAGGCAGTAGCTGTAAAATCCTTTGTTGAGATCTAAGAAAGATCTAAGGTAGTACCTCAGAGTATCAGTTAGATAAACAGTCATCTAAAGGTTTAAAGTTATAACTCATGGATCCTCTCAATCAAACAATAGAATTTCAAGAAACTTAAGGGCACTGTTCTCAAAAGAAGCCCAAGATAGAGAACAGCTTTTCTTGAAGAACTTTGTGAGGGTGACTTTTTGTCTAATGGAGTGAACCCCAAAAGAATTCACAAGAGACCCACATTTTTAAGAGAGTGTTCAGAGGAACACTGCCCACTTGGACTGAAAGGGTCAGGGGCAATACAAAATGAAAAGATAGCTCTGCCTCCCCAAATTCTACTGTTAAAATGAAATCTGTGAAAACTAAGCAATTGCAAATATGGGCTGTCTTTCATGAAAAGAAGGGATAACTCAGAGGGCAGAACCAAGAGCCATGGGTGAATATTCCCAGGTCCTGAGTTCTAATCAGGCAATTTCCAACTAAGTCCAGTGGATTTCAGAATTGCTATGGACCAGTGATTTGTTTGTGCCTCAATTCCCACACTTTTTGAATAGGAATGTCTGTAGTGATTATCCTATATGTACCACCATTCCCTGTTGGATGTTTATGAAGCAGATAACTTGTCTCTTTAGTTCACAGGACTTAAGATCAAGAGGAACTGTAAACGAGAGGCTGTACTTAAGGTACTACACTCTTGTCAGTGATTGTAAGATGTGGATTAGAATGATATGGAATTTTAAACCAATCCCTGAAATATGAACCAGAGATTATGGACAAGGAGTCTGTATATTTTCTGAATTGGGGCAATGATTTATTGGCCACTGATTGATCTGAATTAGATTAAGCTTAAGAGAGTGACAGAAAACCCAAAATAACAGTGATTTAAACAAGATAGA